GCAAAAAATTTATGGCTAAAATCCCAAAAGCAAATGCAACAAAAATAAAAATAAATAAGTGGGACTTAAAACTGAAAAGTTTCTGCATAGTAAAAGAAATAATCAACAGAGCATATAGACAACCTACAGAATTGGAGAAGATATTTGCAGCCTGACAAAGGACTAATACAAAGAATCTACAAAGAACTCAAACAAATTAGCAAGAAAAAGCAAATAACTCCAGTAAAAAGTGAGCAAATGACAGGAACAGACCATTATCAAAAGATTTACAAATGGCCAACAAACATGAAAAAATGTTCAATATCACTTATCATCAGGAAAATGCAAATCAAAACTACAATGAGATATCACTTTACTCCAGTCAGAATGGCCAGTATTAAAAAAAAAATAGATGCTATCATAATTAATTTAGTACAGCCTCTATGGAGATTTCTCAAAGAATTAAAAACAGATCTACTATTTGATCCAGGAATCCCACTATTAGGCATCTACCCAGAGGAACAGAAGTCATTCACTCACAATTCACAATTGCAGAGATGTGCAATCAGCATAAAAGCCCATCAACTGATTGGTGAATAATAAAAATGTGGACTACATACACCATGGAATATTATTCAGCTATCAGAAAGAATGAAATAATGTCTTTTATAGCAACTTGGATAGAATTGAAGAACATTGTCCGAAGTGAACTAACTCAGGAACAGAAAACCAAACACCACGTGTTCTCACTTATAAGTGGGAGCTAAACTAAGGATCCACAAAGACATAGGGAATGGTATAATGACACTGGAGACTCAGAAGAGGGTGTAGGGGAAGGCGTGAAGGGGTGGAAAATCACCTGTCGAGTACAATGTGCACCATGGAGGTAGTTGATATACTTAAAGTCCAGACCAAAAACCATCTGTATCCCCTAAAGCTATCACAATGAAGAAAAAAAATGCAGATTATTATTCTGGGTTAAAGCCTGAGCATCTGAATTTCTAACATGTTTGCCAGTGATGTCAGTACTTTTGGCCCAAGGAGAATAAATTGTACAGCTTGGATTTTATTTCAGTTTATCAGACCAATAAATGAACATAATAGACTTCATTTTTCAAAGCAAGTTATATCAAATAAAATCTAAAAAGAAAGAAATGATTCCAGATTAAATGATGGTTTATGCATATCAATCAATATCCTCAAGAGAAATTAAAATTAAAAAATAAAGACTAGGTAGTGGCTCAGGCTTGTAATCCTAGCACTTTGGGAGGCCGAGGAAGGAGGATTACTTGAGCCCAGGAGTTTGAGACCAGCCTAGACAACATAGTGAGTTCTTGTTTACACACACACACACACACACACACAAATAGTCAGGAGTGGTGGCACATGCCTTTAGTCCTAGATGCTCGTAAGGCTGAGGCAGAAGGATCATCTGAGCCCAGGAGGTCAAGGCTGTGTTGAGTTGTGATCATGCCATTGCCCTCCAGCCTGAGTGACAGAATGAGGCACCTACTAAAAAAAAAAATTAAGAACACAAAAAGAAAAAGAGGAAGTATATATAAAACAACTCATATTTTGTATTGAGTACAAAAAAATTTACAATCATGCTAACATGATGACGATATGAAGGCCAGTAAACATAAGTTAATGTTAAAGTTATTTTGTTGCAAGAGAGAAGACATAATTATCAAAAATAAAACCAAGAAGAGACACATAGAAAAAGCAAAAATAAATAAATAATTGAAATCTAAAAAGCAGATGCAAACAAGTCAAAATAGATTAGCAATCACAATAAACCCAAGTGAACTAAGCTCCAGAAACATGTGAGGTGCTGAGCAGTAGTAGATGGTTGTATATGAACACCATTCTACAAGGAATGGGGGAAATCACCTTGATTGTCCACTATAGGTATAACATCTTCTCTGAAATTGCTGGGACCACATATCCGTCTTAGAATTTGTCATGTGATTTTAAGAAGGCAACAATAAGAATTGCTATTGAATAAAAATACATTTCATCTTTTAACCAATTATATACAGCAAACAGTAAATTCTCCTCAGTGAGTTCTGAGTTTTCTCTCACTAGGAATTGGTAAAGTGACAACCATCTTCCCTGCTCTATTGGAAGTCCAGCTCTCTATTCTTTCACTATCTAGTTTCTGCTAATCTTCTCCTTTGTGATCCACACCATTCTGATGTCACACTAGCTTATTTAATACTAATTATGTATTGTTCAGTTTTTCAATGACAGCAGTCTTTTTTCCAGATTTATTGAGGTATGATGGACAAACATTGCATTATTTAAGGTATAAAATGTGATGTTTTGATATACATACACATTGTGAAATGTTTACCACAATCAAGCTAATGAACATATCCCTTACCCCACATCACCTTTGTATGGTAAGAACGCTTGAAATCTACTCTCTTTTTGCAAATTTCAATACACAATACATTGTTCTTCACTATAGTCATGCTGCACAGTAGATCACAGTACTTACTCATCTTATAAGCGAAGGTTTGTACCTTTTGACCAATATTTCCCTTTTCCCCCAACTTCCCAGTTCCTAGTTCTATTTGTGGTCACCATGAGATTGGATTTTTTTTTTTTTATTCTACATATAAATGAGATCATGCATTATTTTTTTCTTGTCTGGAACATTATTACGGCTGCCCTAGCAAATGAATATGTGCAATGTGACAACAGATTATGAAAGATGCTTCATTAAAAGTTCAAATCAGGAGTGAAGCTGTTTCTACTTACCTTAGAATAAGTTTACATTCTCTCTATAATTCTAGTCTTCTTGGCTATAAAATAGGGATAATGATAATATCGCATAGCATTGCTGGAAAGATAAAATAAGCTGATATATGTAAAGCTCTTAGAGAAAAACACCTTTAGCATTGTATACTTTCAATGGTTATTAGCTATTCTTATTCTTCACTCATTTAACTGTGCCAAGCTCAATTATAGGCATTCTAGGTATCTCAACAAGCAAAACGGATATGAATTCCTATCTTTAGGAATTTTACATTGTGGTACATATTAGTTGCAGACAATAAAACAAATAAGTAAATTATGTAATATGTGGGCCAGTAATGAGTTCTATGGAGAGAAATAAAGCAGAGACTGTGGAAAGGGAGGGCTAGGATAGGGTTAGGAAATTGTTTATAGGGTGGTCCAGGGAAGCATCATTGAAGGAAGTACAGGAGTGAGCCATGTATATACCTGGAGTAAGAGCATTCCAAGTAGAACAGCAGGGGAAAGTACCCTGAGGTTGGAGACTGCCTGGAATAATCAAAGAACAGTAAGAAGGCCAGTGTGGCTAGAGCAGAGTGAGGTGGGAGCATAAGGAGAAGATTTTCATCAAAGGAGACCAGATCGTATAGGTCCTCGAAGGGCTTTGACTTTTACCCTGAGTGACATGGGAAGTCACTGAAGGTTTGGAGCACAGGAGTGACATGAACTAAGGTGCATTTTATAGGATCACCCTGGCCACTGTGTAAGAGTAGATTGATAGTGGTAGAGGCTGGGAGAGAGGGAATGACGGCAATAAGCCACTGTACTTGTTTTGTTTTTTGTTTGTTTGTTTTTGAGATAGGGTCTTGCTATGTTGTCCAGGCTGGTCTTGAATTCCTGGCCGCAGGTGATTCTCCCACCTCAGCCTCCCAAAATACTGGAACTATAGGCATGAGCCACCATGCCCAACCAGAATAATGATTTGGAGAAGGAAAAAGCAAAGTAAAAGTAGTGGTTACTATTTTTCTTCCTCTTCCTTTTGGTATTATCATTATTATTGCTATAATGAGAGGTAGCCTTGTCAATCTTTTCCCTTTTTCTCTTAGTCTCATTTTCTATTGGATTTTTCTTTTTATCCTAGCAGATACTAAGCAATGGCACACCTACTCCAACATTTGGTCAGCACATTACATCTAGCTTCTCCATTTTCCTACTGTAATCTAGATCAATAAACAAGTACGTGCACATAACCTTGACTCTTCACCTCTACTTCCATAGTCACACCTCCTCTCTTAATTCCTCCAGAAAATATCTGCTGCTTCTTCTTTTGGAAATGACACTGGTCTTTGCTTTTTCTCATTTTGGCCATTTTTTCTTACACTCACTCCAATTTCCATTAATCCTCACACCAATTCTTCCCCACTAACAACACTGTCTGTTCTCATTCCCATTAATTCTCCTACGATTCCTCAACATCACAATAAATCTCCTGACCTATCTTCCTGACGTATCCTTTTCCTCTGGTCCTCGGCTGCAACTCTTTGCTGAAGGAAAAAGTTATTTGATGTCTTTGGGTCTGTTTGCTCCTCTGCAAAACAAAGGCATTCGACTAGATTATCTCTAAAGATTCTTTCAGCTTTAAACTCTGATCTAACCAACTCTACTTTTACCTCTTCAGTGATTTTTCATGTGTGGCAAGTTTCATTTCGTTCCCTATTGCCTAACTCACTTTAAATCTCTCATTACTTCCTTATCGTTGCCAAAGTCCTAACCACTTTCTTCATCATTATTTCTTAGGTCAAGCCAGGTGGTTTTCACTCACACCTTAATGTCGGTCAAAGGAGAGTGTTATTTTTAGATTTTTCCTAGCACTGGCAAACAGAATAACAGAGAAATGACGTTTCTAGTCTTTTTTAGAAAGCAACTCTACTTGGACATTGCTTTATCATAAATGAGACGTTCTTATGATTATCCTTGAGAAATCTGTGATTGGAAAGTTTTGTTAAGGCCAGTGACAAACAGCTAATGGCACAGCATCTGCTTTGTTTTCTCAGGCACACTCTTGAAGTGTTCATCTTCACTCCTTGGTGGTGCCCTCGCCTTTCACTTCCTTTGTCATGTAACTGCCAATTTTGATCAATTCATGAGAGAGTAAAGGTGACAAGGGAAAACAATTTAACTCAGCTGATTGCTCCCTTTACAAATAAGGAAACACAGTTTGATATTCTGGATTTCAGAATAAGTTGATAACAACAGGAAAATCCTGTACACAAACATTTTTGAATGTTTTTATTTAGCAAAAATTTCAGGTGATTTTGAAACACATTAGACATCCCATTCATTGAAGAAAAGAGAGTTTACTCCAAAACATTTTTAAGTCATCCTAAAATGATTTTGTCTATCAGAGCAAAAAAGGACAAAGAGAAAATTCTGCCCCAAAACATATTTTTATGGCAGAGATTATATAGCTGGATTTCTTAGACATCAAGAAAATTCATACGCGCGCGCACACACACACGTAAATAATGAGTTTAAAAGATTCCATTAAGACTAAGTTTCACACAACACATTGTGACTATAAATGAGTTACTTGAATACAATAGTTACCTCCAGTTATTTTTAGCAAGGAAGCTGGACTTCACATTATTTAATTTGTAAAACTCTGGTAGAGATGTGTCCTGTCTAGCCTCCTCTACCCAAAGCAAATGTCATTGCTCCTAAATGCCACAGTAATAAGACATCTCCTCCTCCTCTGAGCTCCACTGAAACTCACCTTCTATCCTTCTTATCCCCCATGCCCCCTAAATCAGTCTCTCATATCTGTCAGTATGTATTGGCAGAAGAAAAGAAGGAGCAGAAAAATAAATCAGCATCATAGTTTAATAGAAAAAGCATAGGTTTTGAGTCAGATAAACCTAGTTTGGTATCTAATTTCATCTTTGTATCTAATTTTATTCAACATGAGACAATGGCCAGTAGAATTAACCTCTCTCAGTCTTAGTTTTCTCATCAGTATAATGGCGATAATGAGACCTCTCTCGTTGGGCATTGTGAAGATTAAATTGGATATGATTGTAAAATACCTAGCATATAGAGGCACTGAATAAGAGGACACTTCCCTTTCTTCTATTTTAGCATACCATTCACAGGTCAATCCTGTATCACAATTGGTTGAACACGGTTGGTTGCTCTAACAGCCTATTACTAGGCTGCACACTTTTGAAGGCAAAGTCTTGTCCACCTTTGTATTCCTGTAGAATTTAGGGGAGCAAACTGCATATTCTGGAGGCACAAGGACTGTGCATTATGCTAAACTGAGGGTTGAACAAAGATGTCTAAGGCTGTGGAACAATTATCTGTGGATTTTGGCTCTTTGGGCTGTTTGGGTAATATAGTTGCTCTCATGTGCTATGGCTCAGGCCACACAGGCCTCGAGACAGCCCACCATGTTTTAAATTAGCTTGCACAAAATACAACTACTTTCCTAAATTATTTGGCAACTGATCAGGACTCTGTTCTGTTTCTCACTGTGGAAACTCCTACAGGGATATTGACTTTACTCTGAGAGAGACAGAACTGAATTCAGTACACGATGTTGGAAAAAAACAAGAAGTTGTGTTGAAAGAAGCACAGAGTCAAACAAACATGGGTTATTAACTCCAACTCATCCTTGACTAGCCATGAGACCTTGGGCAAGTTACTGTGCTCACTGAGCCTCATTTAAACAAAAAGAGAGATCATAACTCTACTTCACACAGGGTTGTTGGGGAACTTAGGGAGGTGATACCTTTGAAAAGACTTTAACAACCATGAAGTAGGATGCAAAAACAAAGTCTAAGAGAGCCAACACTTGGGGCTCCTCTTTTGTCACAGTTGAGGTCTCTACGTTTATTTCCCTCCTTTGGCAACTGATCAGCTCTTGTTTTATAATTTCAGTTTAGCTCAGCAGGAAAGCAGTGGACATGTGTGTATATGTGTGTGTGTGCAAATCCACACAGCTCTCTGTCTTTTCTTCTGCATGCCAAAGAGTTACAATGCAACAAGAAAGTGCAGCCAAAGTTTCATAATAACGCACTGCATGCAGTGCCTGTAGAGCAAAGGACTCATCTGCCTGCAGGCAGCCGGAACTGCACACATTATCTTTCTGTCTGATGCTCAGCCTTACTGCTTTGGGCTTTTTCTCATGTGTTAGTCACAGCTGTCTTTGTAAAATATTTCAAAGATACAACCCAACCAAAGCATAACAGAAAGTCATCCCCAGATGAAAGGGGGCTGCTGAGGGGAGGACACAAAGTCTTTCAGTTCAGGTGTAATCTTTGTTTCTAGGCTGTTTGATTCACATCACTCTGGGCTCCTTGAGGAAACTGAGAGGGAGGGGAGGCAGGCTGACCAGCTACAGGATGCAGATGGAGGAGTGAACCTTCCCAAATTTCTGGAAGAAATCTTCCTGGGCCTGGGCCAAGGCATCTTCATCAATGTAGACTGCCGGCCTCTTGGCCATGAGGAAGTATTGCACTTTCCTCAGGTTCCAGCCCATCACGTACTGGAGCCAGCCACAGACAGCCGCCGTGGAGCGGCCCACCCCGGCGTTGCAGTGCACGTACACGGTGTGTCCATTCTCCAGCAGCGCATGCAGGAGGCACACGGCCTGGGGCAGCATCTGCACGCGGCCTGCGGTTGAGAAAGCACAGCACACACACGTGAGTAATGAAATCCATTCTACCCCCACCGCTAAGAACTCCTCCAACACACGTGATTTAGTGAAAATCACAGGGCCACATAGGCCGAGGCAGGGATGGGAGAGCATTCCTTTCTTTGGAGGGCAATAGGGAGACAGTTTTAAAACCTGATGACAATAAGGTAGACAGAACACGAGGCAATGGGTCCTCTCTGAACCTTCACTGGATGCTGCTGCTCCTTTGAGTGACTTCATAATCCATGAAAATTTACCTTCAAAGAAATGTTACACATCGCCTATCGCCACACAAACACATTTTACATTTATCAAAAGGACTGGCAGAAACTCCATCAGAGTTTTAGAGGATTCCAAAGAAACCTGGCTTGTCTGGTCCTATCACTTGAATTTGTGAATCCAAAAGTATCTTTCAGGTAAATGTAAAACACAGAATTAGTCCATATTGGTTAAAGGAATTAATCTTGTTTACTCAACATATGCCAATTACATTTGTTCAATGGAATGGCTAATGTTATGTGATACACGAGGGATAACCGATCATTCATTTATTCCCTCAAGACACAGTGAGTGCAAAAACCGATTTAATTTCTATGTTAGTGAGCAATTATGATTATAGTTATTACTGCTTCATGACTTCTATTTCGATTATTAGATTATTCAAATGTCCTCTCATCACATTGGGAGAGGATGGCTGTGCTCTGCCGAGGCCTGCTAGTCTCTGCTCTTCCCTCTCATCCCATGGGACAGAGGACGCCCCCACAGTCATCACTCAGAGCTTCCTGGATGCCTGGAGTTTCTTCTGCTCAAAGATTCTTAGTACAGGGATATTTAGTGACTTGGGATTTTTTGTTTGTTTATCTGGGGGAGGGTCAATGTAAATAACTTCAAAAGGAAAAGGAAGAGAGAAACTATAGCGTCCTGAATTACAACGATGTGCTTACAACTCAGGGTTCTCTAAGTACTCTGTCCTCAACCACACAGGGAAACAAGCCCCAGAGGACCCTCCGAGGACCACATGGAAGAGCCCTGTCTGGTCTTCACATTCCATCCCTATTGGATGACTGAAGAGGTGGGAACGTCCCACTTTCAAACAAGCTCACCTGTGGTTCTTCACGGAGGCCTAGAATTCTCCTATGAGAGTCACTCAGATGAGTTTAGACTTCTCTAGATATTCACTTTTGAAAAGCAAGTGCCTTTAAAGGAGCCAACACAACACATTGAGACCAGGCACCAGCACCTTAGAAGGTCAGAGTTTACCAAAGACCCTAACATGATTTGAAGGCCCCTCAGTCCCCAGGGACTGGGAACCCCACCTCAGCATCAACTTCATCATGCTCTAAGATAATAGCAGAGAGTCAACATGGAAGCCAGGATAATATTCTCGTCTTGCTGCTGGTGCTCTGCTAATCCCTCTCATGAAGAGACCTAAATCTACAGGCTTCACATAGGAGTATGGAAATGGATTTAACTGGAATGCCTTCAGGCAAGGCACTGCTGTTCCCCAGGCTCCATCACTCGCTAGTGCCTCTTGCATGTGTTCCCTTCCTGGTCTCGAAGGGCATTTGAGACACACCAGCTTCTGTGGATATCTTGATTCCTCACTGTCCAAACTGAGCCATGAACTTGCATCTATCTATATCTCCATATTTGGTTCCAGTGTGCTCAAGGTTAGAGTGAGGTGAACGGGCCACTCAATTATTCATAGAGTCCCCTCCTAGTGGCACCGAAATATCACTGGAGATACAACAGTGTGCAGAGAACTTCTTATGTGCCGGTGAGATGTCTTAGGGGCATCCTAGGGACAGCCCCGTCGGGTTGGGAGATCCTAGTAGGCAAAGCTTCCAAGGTCCATTAGACCTTGCTGGAGAAGAGAGAGGCCTGCTCAGCTGCAGGGCTTTTGTTCTGCTGAGCGGGTGTGAGAGATTTACTCCAAGTAACACTGGGTGGGAAGAGAGACCTGCCACCAGATCTGGGAAGAGTGGGTTCATCTTACGCCTGCCACAGCTGGTGACATGTGACTAGTTCCTTACTCTGGCTGCCCCAGAGATTCAGTAATTTGGCAGAAAATAAGTAAGAATATTTTTCATGTAGTCTTTCCTCAAATGCCCAATATACAAATAGCCCACCATGGTGATTTACAGTAGAAGCCATTGGACTCAGAGCCCCAACTGCTGGCGCTCAGCTTGTATAACACCCATGTCACCAGCTTGCCAAACGAGAGCTTCCATGAACCCAGTCAAGATCCCCTCCCCAGACCTGCTCTCTGGACAGAGGTCTGTACCATAAAGGACAGGTCTGTACCATAAAGCCCAAATGATGCAGTACCATCTCCTTTCCTTTTTAATCTGTAGAAGATTCTTCAAAAGACACGTGCACAGTTTGGAAGCTAAAAAGGTCTATGTGATAGTTTGAGGCTCTGTGATCTTAGACACTTACTCCCAAAAGGTGCATGTCAGCAACCACGTGGAAGCTCCCAAAGCTCCCAGCTTCACAGAGGTTGCACCAGCAGGCACAGGTCTCAGTGGTCTTCCTTCAGAATCACTCAACCATTGACCAAAGAATTGTCAAATATTTAAAAAACATAAAGAATAGGTGAGGCACAGTGTCTCACACCTGTAATTCCAGCATTTTGGGAGGCCAAGGCAAGAGGAGGAGTTCAAGACCAGTCTGGGCAACATAGTGAGACCTTGTCTCTATAAAAATTGCTTTAAAAAAATTAGTCAAACTTGGTGGTGCATATCTGTAGTCCCAGCTACTTGAGAGCCTGAGGCAGAAGGATTGCCTGAGCCCAGGAGATCAAGGCTGTGGTGAGCCGTGATCATGTCACTGCACTCCAGTGTGGGTGACAGAATGAGACTTTCACTCAAAAAACCAAAAACACCACGTAGAATAAATAAATAATTAAGAAGAGCACCAGAGAAGTAGGTGGTCCGGGATACCCACCCATCTCACGCTAGCCTCAGCTGGAGTCCTTGTTTATTTTCAACTCTAGTGATTGCAAATCACCCTGCTTTGATTCATGGTGGATAACATTGATCAAGCTCTTTCAACCTGCCCAGCACTGTTCTCAGCATTTTACACTCAGTAGCTCATTTACAACCACCTCTTAACTATTTACACAGAGGGTGCCAAAAAAAGTATACATTTTAAGAAAGAAAAAAAACTGTATTAAAATTGTAATACTCAACATATACTGGTAACAAAAGACAAATACAAGTCATATTTGACTTCTACCATTACAAGAGGTGCTCAAAGTGATTACCATCAGCGCCCAGACACTTCTGATTACAGCAAACATCTCTTAACATCGCTTAAAATGTATATGCATTTTTGGGGCACCGTCGTATATGAGGAACTGAGGCACAGAGATTTGCCCAAGGTCATTCCCTTAAGGGCCACTCCAATCAGCCAGTGTGACTCTGAAGCCTGGGGACCTTTCCCAGTCTACCTGGTTAATGGTACTTCCTGGCCCCCCTCTTGTAGATCTAGACCCTCGGTCAGTCCCTCTGCACCTCACTTACCTGGTCATGTTGCTGCTCTTACTCCTGTGTGAGAGTATCATCCCTGAGGTTAGTACCTCTGTACTACCCTCTCTGCTTGAAAACCTATCCTAGGGAGCCCAAACTAATACAAAAACCACCTAGGAATAAAAAGTGTCCTAGGTTCAGGGCTCACCTTGATATATCCTCCTCAACATAGCCAGTGTCAACCAGAGCAGCTAATTTTTAGGTTCCTGTATATAGGCTCCATATAGCAGTTAATTTGATTAAAATTGTCCATTCTGAAAACAATAAACCCTCAAGACAAGGCTGATATCCAGATGTTCTTATGTAAAGTATTCCTTACTTTAAATATTGGCAACTAAGCTGAAAAACTGTAAACTCTCTGAAGGTCAAACACAACATGCTACCATCTATGTTTCTGCTTTGTAATTTAATACAGGCCTTGACTCTCATGCTCAATAAACATTATTGAGTGCATGGATAAAAACAAGGCAAAACAAACAACAATAATCCAATGATATCTATTTGATCTGAGACACTACTAGGCCCTTCTAACCTGACTTGCGGTCCACACCTGCTCCAACCTAATCCAATTCTGGAATGGTTAAAAGCATCCAGAAAACATGCACTGAGTAAGCCAAGTGAGGAGAGAAATAGATAAAGCATTTTGGCAGGTTCCTGAAACAGCCTGAGGCATCAGACTCTGAAATAAGAGAGAGGGATCAAAGCTCGGGAGATGCACTTTATCCAAATTTGACCCAGAAAGAACTCATTCCTGGCAAAACTTTCAGCCTTTTACACATTCACACACACACACACACACACACACACACACACACACACACACCCCTTTCCTTTCTTACATAAGTAGTTAGATGGTGAATATATATTATTTTATTTGGGTATAGCTTCTTTTCCATTTTTGGAGTGTAATATAGGTAAGGTTCACATCATCTGTAATATCCTTTGGTAGAAACTTAGACTTAAGATTCATTCTACAGCCCCTCCATTATGATTTTCAAAGCCCCTTCGCATCAATTATCTTATTCTATTGTCCTAATTTTGTAAAGTAGAAAGTACTATCCCCATTTTCCCAGTTGAAGGAAATCGCCTGCTAATATCACACATCTACTCAATGGTGACAGGGCCCAAGCCCAGGTGTTCTGGCTCCAAGGTCAGCATCTTGGAGATATGGTAGAGCTGAATTCAGTCTATTGAGGCAAAAGATCTCAGACTTAGACAACAGAGGGACAGCTGAGGACTCTGGGAAGCATATGAGCTCATTTGAGAGGCAACTGTAGACCATTTGTTACAAATAGCACCTCAATGACAGAGGTCAAAACACAATCTGAATACTTTCTAGGTGAAGGAATTCTTAATGAGCAGCTTTGTTTTGTTTTGTTCAGGTGAGTACTAGATTTGGGATATTTTCAGGTGAAAGACACAAACCAATTTTTAAAAAAAATATATAAGAAAAAGAGAAAGAAATCTAAAACACCCCTCTGCATACGACACCGTGTACGTACGAGAATAGGGATCAATAGCACAATTGATTGTAACAGGCCTGTGACAACCAGTGGTGACAGTCAAGTCTAACAAACTGTCTTCTTTCTCAGACTTCTTCTGACAGCATTATGCTGTGACTCAAAACACTTCCAAATGGATTTTTCTCTAGAGTTCTAAAAATATTCAGCTGAATTAATCTATATGTTCATTGTGAGTCACAGAGATTGATCTATTGATAAAGTTCCCCTGCCACTCAAAGACAGTCATTAACCCTTTGATTACTCCCACAGGTTAGGCTGAATTGAAGAAATGCTATATTGAGTCTTACAGTTTGACCTTTTCAAGCAGGAGCTTGCATTTGCCGTCATGGTGCTGCCTGCTCCCTCAGCCTGGAGGAAGGTCCACGCCCAGTGACACCCCGAGAAAGTCTGAATACAACTACAGTGAGTCTTTGGGAATATAGTTTTCTTTCAGGCTCCTGCAGACACCCAAACTGTCAAGCAAATGACCTATTAACCGGCAGGGTCTTCAGGCAATCTGTGTGTGGGATGGGATGAGAGGCGTGGCAAAGTTAGGAGCTCAGCTTCCCAAGGCTCACCTTGCCTCGCATGATACTCCAACAGGAAACAATGCTGTGAAATCAGAACTAAAGATGTTAAAACCAAAACGGTCTCTGGAAGCTGCAGTCTTACTATCCTAACAATCTACTCTGTTTTGAAACCTGAAAAACCTGCTAGACAAAGCCAGAATAAGCTAGATTCAACTAATGTTCTTCAGTGCAAGTACAGTTTGTTGTTTGTCTGTTTTTTTCCCTTAAAAAGGGCAGAACTCTTATAGCTAAATCAAGCTCTCTTGAATCAAGTTGCCAAGAGGAATAATCAAACTGACAACAGCTCTCCCTGCCTTCAGGAACAAAATTATACCCCATTTCCAATGCACAGTGCAGCTTAGACACAGAGTCATAAAGGTGCTCAGCCTGCCAGGCGAACCATCCACAGAAGGCTAAGGTAGCCAAGGCAGGGACATAGATCTCCTGTGGTCCTCACGATCTTCTGGCTTGTGGACCATTGACTCAGGGTCGGGGGAGACAAGATATGTCACTTGCAGCTCGTGGCTTTGCATAACTCCAGCCGATCGTGAACAAAATGGATTGAAACCGTGTTGGTCTGTAGAATCTACCAGAAGAGTCTATGTGAGAACGAAGGGAGAAGCTTTATAGCTGGTGTCTGGAGCAATGTTCTGAGTCTGAGTTCCAGCCTTGAAATTTTAGGCTGTGTCCCTTTTTAGTTCAATGGCCTGGGAAGATGAAAGTTTTTTGTACCTCAGTCTCTTCCTCTACAAAATGGAGATAACTACAATATCTGCTCAGAGTCTTGTTATGAGAATTAAATGAGCTAATGAGTGTAAACTGCATAGGAGAGTGTTCGATGGTGTGCATTTGGGGGAAGAGGACGAAGATAGAAACGTCTCCTGGCTGGGCATCACTGCTTTGTTCTTTCCCCGGGAATAGCAGGTCATTAAGCTCCCTTAGCCTGTGCCGTTTCTAAGCTCTCTGCTGCCCCCTGCTGTCATCTCCTTGATGCTATCAGTGTAACTTGGTTCTCTCTGTAGCAGAATGTAGTTTTTAATCTCTATTCCTTTTCCACACATACCCTACTCTGCAATCAGACTGAAATACAGATCATTCCTCTAAAATCCCATGCTTCTGTGCTGTGGTCTTTGCTGTTTCTTCCACCTAAAAACAGTTTCTCCCTGCACATCTACCTGTCAAAGCTATGCCTATCTCAGAAAATGTGTTTGTCCCACGCCATAACCCTCCTCGAGCATGGTACCCACTTCTCTCTCCCCCGTTCTTCTCCGTCCTGTCATTAGTTTTGAACTTGTCTTATTGCCTCTTACCATGAAATCAATGCTATGCCTTATTTGTCTCTGCTTCCCTGGCAGCACTCAAGCCACACCGTGATTCCCTTTTCAAAAAGCATGCTCAGCAGATACTTGTGCTGTAAGTGAAGACTGACAATCACCATCTCACCCTAAGCTGCGTTCCCTCACGTTATCTCTCACTTGAACTTTTTCACAAAACTCCTAAGTGGTCTCTTCCAGCCCATGCTCTTCGCCTTAAGCAAAATGCACTTTGGGAAGAAAAAATTTTATCTTGACATCTCCCAGCCTCCTACCCTCTCAGATGCTTCTTACTGCTTTAGGATAGAGTCTAAAGTCCTTATTGTTGCCTAAATCCTGTGAGACCATCTTCCCTCATTCTCTGAGCTGCAGTCACATTGTTCTTTCAGTTCCTGCAACACTATGCTCTCTCCTGCCACAAAGCTTCTTCTAAGCTGCTCCCTCTGCCTAGGATACTCCCTCCACTCATTCCTCCCCGAGTCCACCGTCAGATCTTAGTCCAAACACTACTTCCCAAGAAAACCCTTCCTGACACATGCCTCTTTTGAGGTCCAATTACCTGTATATAATGTCATAGCACTCTCTATGTATCTTTGTAACAAAAATGTCATCATAGTTGTAAATTTCTATTTTTAGCCATTTGATTAACACCTGCCATCCTTATAGAACTATAAGTTCCTAAAGACAGAAGTTGTGCCCATCTTTCTTTACTGTCATGTTCCCAGCCACCAGCATAATTCCACAAACATGGTGGACACACAATGAATAGGTGCTTAATAAATAAATTAAAGAAGGCACATTAAGCCGAATCTTAACCACAGTGTCTAAAGATATGTATTAAACATATTAAATCTAAAATACTATTTTTATTCGATTTCTACCATTCATATGTAGGATATTCAATAATAGAGACAGACAGATAGATAGATGATAGGTAGAGAGAAAGGTAGATAGATGACAGGCAGATAGCAAGAGTATCTCTGAAACACATTCAGCACGAAGTCAGAAAGACTTTTCCAATCCTTACCTTCGGTGCTCATATCTGGTGTCGGCATCCAGATGTAAACCAAGCCTTCTTCCTTATACAGCTTGATCATGGTGTCTGGAGTCATGGGGTCTGGGTAGCGGTTACAGCCTGAGGAATTCTGTACAATATCCCATTCAGTTTGGAAATTCATTACAGCTGTAATCCCCAATTCATGCTTCAGTTTGATGGTCACATGTTCCACTTGACGAGGGCAGCTACCCAGCCAGATATTTGGTAGAATTCTAATGAGAACATATGGAGTCAACTGTTACTACTGTTGTTCTGATTTGAGGTCTAAGGAGCTGCATAAAATACGTAACCTTCAAATCTGGCACTGAAAAGGCTAGATATTTAAGAATGTGAAAAGCAGTATTATTACTGAAAGAAAAAGTATTGGTGTTGCTGTTTTGGAAAAAACAAATAGTTCAATTAACTAGAATGCCAGGAAATCAGCATTCACAATTTAAATCTAGCAATATATTAAAATAAGTCGACCAAGTTGTACTTATTTCATAAACGCATACATAGTTCAACATTACAAAAATCCATTAATTCACTTCAAAAATTACTAACAAATTAAAGATGAAAACACTTATAATTATATGAACAAATTCTGGAAAACATTTGCTAAAATGCAGCAAGCATTCTTATTTAAAATTTTGTGTAAAAATTTCAAATAGTGTGAGACTTCAAATTTGCTAAAGATCAAAAATTAACAAACAACAAATTTATCTTAAAGAAATTCAAAATCAAGATTAATTCTATTATTAACTGGCATTGTTCTATATGTTTCGATGTTTCATCTAATGTTATAAGGTAAGAAGAAATCACAGTATAATTTTTTTGTGGAAGTCCTTATCGAGTCTTATTATTATGGAAAAAAATTAAGAAACAAAAGAAAAAAATTAAAAACTTAAGAAATTTCTACTAACCCTTTACATAAGAACCCAAACAAAAAAAGAAAAAAAAGTAAAAGTAAAAAAATAAATAATAATGTTTATCCTTTCCTGTAGGTTGAGTAGAGCTCAAGCTATAGAAGATGGTGCTAGATCTTGTGGATATTTTCAATGAGGATGGGTATCACACACATCAAGTTGTCAATTGGCTTCTCAGGTTAACATCAACAATGCCAACAAAGCCAAAAGGAAAAAAGCAAAACACAGAAACAACCTAGATTTCCTATTATAACACTTGGTAATAACTGTCTGACATCAGACCAAATTATTTATCATCTTTTTTTTTTTTTGTGAACTAATCTTTAGAATGGGTCTAAAAATAACAAAATCACAGGAACTTTGTATGTAGTAAATACAAGTAAATAATATATTTGAATAGAACTGACACTAGTTGATGCCCAACAAACGCAAGTGAAGTTTATGTCTAGCTATGATAACTTACTTATTTCACATTGCATTATAATGACTGTTCAATTAATTTTCCATTGTCCTGTATAGCCTTCATATGAATTGCTGTAGAATATAGAATATTTACCCTATATTTTTATATGAAATCCAGCTTGTTTTTGTTTTTTGCCTTCGGCTGTTGCTGTCCTTGTTGATGCTAACATGAGAGGCCAATTGACTAATCCTCAAATATGGGCATTATCCACCCTCAGTGAAGATATATTACAAGGTCTAGTAGTATCTTTCCAAAGTCTGAGCTTTATTTACCCTACAGGACAGGATAAACCTTTTTTTTTTTCCTCCTGCTTGGATTCTTGTCTAAAGGGCTATTAGGAATTTCCTTGTGGAAATCTTGGTTGAGGATTACTATGGGAAAAATAAAGGGATAAAAAAGAAAGGTTAGAAATTCAGGAAAGACTTAACGATATTGGAGTGTGGGGAATGGAATCCAGAGGCCTTTTTGCCTTATTCCTGACCCCAAAGAATTTTTAGACACTCCATCTGACACAATGAACTAAAAGAAAGGCCTTGAGCAAGGACACATTTCAGAGTGCCCAAGAGCTGTGATTGACCAGGACCTTGAGAGCTGAAAATTCAGTCTTCACAGGAATGGAAACTTCACACCTCCTGGACTACTGTCGCTTCCCTCTGGCTGTTAGTGTGAGCAGGATCTGTCTCTATCTACATATTCCAATACTCTTTCCATCATCTCTTAAAAATTCCTTCTCCAGGAATCTGCTGGATGCTCAGTGGGTAGTGCTGAGCTCCCATATGTGTACTTTGTGGTTGAACCGAGCACATTAAAGCACATTAAAGCACTCTAAGCTAGAAAAGAGGGAAGTGGACAACTCAGTTATATAACCAAGAAATATAACATATTGAACAGCAATGAGTTGCTTTTTTTTTTTTTTTAAACAGGCAAAATCCTAAAGTGGACTGGTAAAATATTAAAATGAATATTCATGAGAGGAAAAACTAAATTCCAGACGGTTACTCAGTGTTCTCTTGAATATTGCTCTCTTTGAGTGGGTAGCACTTAGTATTTAGCTAGTTAATAAATTCCAAAATAAAATAACAGGCTGATTTTTCATACAAGATCTGCATAGAAGCTAAATAATAGTTCATAAAGATATACAAAAGGTAAAGTAAGGCATTTGAGCCTAAGAAAAAGAGGTCAGAACCTCAAAACAGAGTTAGTATAGAGAAGCACATGTTGTTGCCCAAAAAGATGTTAGTCAATCATTTTGTTCAGCCCTCGCCTTCACATGTTTTTAAGATGATAGGAAAATTCAGAACCAGTCAAAGATAAACAGGCCCAAAGTTGGTAACTTAACACATATATATATTTCCCACATTACATCTCTGATGGGACTAAGCCCTTAAAACGCATCTCCACATACTCTCACACACATATAAGCACAGTTTCTATACCAGATTTATCCAAATGTTTGATAACATAGTTGATTCTACTTCTAAATATATCAGAAGCCAGAGTCTATACTCTAGAAATAAGTATAAAATAATTTCTGACTTTTTAAAATAAGATGTTCTAAACCTTGGAGACAGAAAACTATAGATAAACTCTGAAAACAAGCAATGTATTGAAAGATAGAAAGTTAAAGTCATAAAGTGATTTGTACTGAGCCATTATATGGGATGCAGAGACAAAGATTGGGCTTGTTGAAAACAAACAAATCAATGGATTCTGCTTAATTGGACAGCTAAAGTGCCCTTTATGTGCATCTTATTTCAGTTGTTTTCCAGAAGTAGGTGATATATTTCTAGTTATGGAATACACTGGAGGTAAAAGATGCATGATATGTTTTCTAAAAAGTAATTACACTTTTACTTAACCATGCAAAAGAAGATGATTTGACACCATTAAAAATCAATTTTTACTCATTTAATCTTAGTTTTTATCTTTCTTGGTATCAATTATATTTTAAGCAATTGTTAAAATCAGGATTGTTTTTCAGGTGAAAAGAAGCTCGTTGAAATATGAGATTAGAGAACAAAAAGGCTCTGTAAAGGTAGTGTTTTAATGCAAAGCATACCAAAATTCCAAGATACAGTGGAATAAAAGTTATAGCTTATAATTATGTTGTAAATGACATTGCAAAACGTTAAGAGAAATATTTTATGAATAATCCACTAGCAATTATGAGTTATACCAAAGATTTCTGGCAGTTCCACTATAGACTATTTGGAAATGTCAAAGAGAAACCAAACATACCACATGAGAATTAACAGTCAACGCAGAGATTCCCAGATCTGAATGTGCATTCAAGTCACATGTGGTACTTTTATAAAAACATCTATTATTAGGATCTACCCCAGAGATACTCATAAAGAGTATATGGAAGGAGGCCTATAATTCTGTGAATTGTTTGTTTTTAGAAATTAACCAGATTGCATATGCAGCCAGATTCCAGAACCACCAGCCTACCAGGTCTTACATACATGTAAGAGAATCTTAGTATATACAGCTCAATACCTTTTTTTTTTTTTTTTTTGAGTTGGAATCTCACTCTGTCGCCCAGACTGGAGTGCAGTGGCCGCTCCCGGGCACTGCAGCCTCAACCCACTGGGCTCTGACGATCCTTCCGCCTCAGCTTTCCGAGTAGCCGGAATTACAGGCACGCGCTACCATGCCCAGCTGATTTTTTGATTTATTGTAGAGATGAGGTCTCGCCAAGTTGCCCAGGCGGGTCTCGAACCCTAGGGCTCAGGCAATCCACTCACCTCAGCCTCCCAAAGCGCGGGATTACAGGCTAAGCCACCAAGCCCGGCTCTCAATACCTTTTAATGGCAGTAAAAAAATATGGAGATGAGAGGACATGGACTTGCTCAGCTCTACACATGTATGTATAATGTTAAGCTATTACCTTTGTCCAAAAATAGATCCAATACTGTAAAAGATTCCCAGATAATGAAGAATGGAAAATTATCTGTTATGAGACACAATGTGTGTCTATGTTTTTAATGCATAGTCTCTTTTAAATAGTCAAAATTAAATCTACCGAGTCATGACAAATATTTAGTATAGTCATATGCACTAAGAATGTACTTTTGCAAGAAAAAAAAAGGTTTATTAACTTGGGTTTTGGCTATTTCTGTTGTGATTCACCAGACCAGATTTAAATGAAATTTGTCTTAGTAATATTACATATTAGCTAAAGACTAAGGGAAAGAATAGATAGCTGACATTCTGGGACATTACTTTCTTGAACTGTGAGTCAAAATCAATTTAACTCACCTGAGTAAGTCTGGACTGGTGGTTCCAAGTAATCACATCACAACCCTACACCATTTGTTTCACACATCAGGCCTGTGGTCCAACAGCTACTGAAACATATGAATCAGAGCCTCAGCCGTCAGTCAAAGGAGGCCTCACTGTCAATAATGAGCATATCAGGCAGAATGAGCATCCAAGTACTTTGTGAAAACCCCACAGGGTATTGACAGAGGAATGGGTGTGGAAAAGACAAAAGGTATCAGGACATGAGTCCATTATCTAGACACCACATCAGAGCTTCCATCACTAATAGCCATGAGAAACAGCAGAATAACCTTTTCCTGAAGGTGAAAATTAGCGTTTTTGTATCCGTAGAAAGAAAAAAATATTAGAAAAACTACAAGAATGATGAACTCAATGTATAAACACAGGCTTTTGTTTATTTATCACATCGAAAGCCCCCAACTCTCGAATTGTAGCACCCCCTTCCTAGCCATACAAACACAGCAACACTTTAAAAATAGAGAAAATAGATTTTGCTGAAACTTTTTACAAAACCTGGCTAAGAATTTAGGAACAAAAAAAAGAGGCACATTTCCTAAGT